ACATACTACTTCCCTAGCACTAGACAAATACACACTACTTCCCTAGCACTAGACAAATACATACTACTTCCCTACCACTAGACAAATACACACTACTTCCCTACTACTAGACGAATACATACTACTTCCCTAGTACTAGACAAATACACACTACTTCCCTACCACTAGACAAATACACACTACTTCCCTAACACTAGGCAAATACATACTACTTCCCTACCACTAGACAAATACACACTACTTCCCTAGCACTAGACAAATACACACTACTTCCCTAGCACTAGACAAATACATACTACTTCCCTAGCACTAGACAAATACATACTACTTCCCTAGCACTAGACAAATACATACTACTTCCCGAGCACTAGACAAATACATACTACTTCCCTACCACTAGACAAATACATACTACTTCCCTACCACTAGACAAATACGTACTACTTCCCTACCACTAGACAAATACGTACTACTTCCCTACCACTAGACAAATACGTACTACTTCCCTACCACTAGACAAATACATACTACTTCCCTACTACTAGACAAATACATACTACTTCCCTACTACTAGACAAATATATACCCTTAAAGCCTAGCTATTTTGACAAGGAACTTTCTAAACTGAATATCAAAATTCTATTTTGAAATATGTCATGTGACATAAAGATATATGTCACTAATTATACTTTTCAGAGTCAATGGAAAAGTTTTTTCTATGGAGGTGGTCTCTCTAATAGCACAATCTGGCCAATCATCTTGTCCATGAATCACTTTTAACATTTCCTTCTAACAAGCAAATAAAATATTAAAAGAGCTGCTTGAATCTGGACTTAAAACAATTCCTTTGGGGCTGCAAAACGGAGACAACATAACAGAACACAAGTATAATACCAAGTGAAATGTTGGTAAAATTTCAGTTAGTATTAGAAAAGGAAAAGGAAAGGACAAATGAAAAAAATATCAAAACCAAAATAAAGTCAAGCAAAATACAAACAAGCTGCCACAGAAAAACAAATCAACCAACTCTAAACCCACTTCATACATTTTAAGACACTAATTACTTTCTTTACCACCTAAGTATTATGTAATACACAGACAATATTTCAGTTGAATATAAATACATTCTATTTGAAGATCTACATGTTATTCAACGTGTAAGAAAGTCCCACTAAAATATTTTTAACGCTGTGAAGTATGTATTTACCGTCAGTAAATTCGGAGTTACAGTTAGGAAAGATTGGGCGCACCAGTAGTGTATGCTGCACAGCTTGGCTATGGTTCTAAGAACGTGACCCTTACCTCTTAGGGGTTGGTGATGCAAAACGCAGTTCTTCAAATGAATAGTTTTCATAAACCTTGAAGAAAGAGAACAGTAAGAGTTTTAAAAATCATTAACCTGTCTATGCATAAAAGAAAAAAAGTCAACCAGTTAGCTCACATCAATTATAAATATTCTAAAGACCAAACAAAACGTTTAAAAATACACAAGAAAAAATAGGTAGAACACCTTTCTCACTGCCACTGAGTCGATGCCTACAAGGAGAGGATCTATGATTCAATTAACTGTGATGGGATAACCACCCATAACATAAAGAACACATCAGTAAGAGAAGAACCACCCTACAAACACTGAGTTAAGAAATTTGGACGACCAATAAATATTTGACAAGCTACTAACCTAGAAAACAAGAAGTTGTCAAATAAAAAACACTAAACAATCGTATCACAGTCATCATTTTGTATTTGTAAGAACCAAGTACCTGGTCCTTCATGGATCGCTGATGAGGTAAGCTTTGGTAATATTTAATACACTTGAAGATGTTCATGTCCTGTGATCCAGCAATTCCATATCTTGGGCAAACTTCAGAGTATGATTAACTATATTGTTTCATAGTTGCTAAACCACTAATTCATGTCCCAGTCAAGTAGGCACATAACCAATAGATTATCCAATAAGCAATTAGCACAAGTTTATTTGTGCTTACTTGTTAATCTGTGTTGAGTAATTTCATAGGTGGAAAGTAACCACAAGGAAACCAGCCCATGCTTACTCTGCATATTGGGTAACCCAGTACTTCAAAGTCATAGCCATCACAACCAAGGTTACTTCCAGCCTGCATCTCGGCACCTGTTACCGACATATGTATGTCGCTAATGTGCAAGGTAGTTGGATAATATAGTGTTGTAAATGTGAGCTGGCAATCAGAATAGATTCAAGAGGTAGTCTGGGTATAGAATCAACTGTACTTGGTAGCTGATGAGGAGGGTGCATAAAGAAAGAGGACGAAAATACAAGTGGGGTCCCAAAAATTCATGGAAAAATTGGAATTGAAAGCTAATGAAATGGTTCCATGCACTTTCTGAAGTGCCCTGGTAAAAGATGAAGTTCACTTTTGGAGTCTGAGTAGTAGGAATGAAGTTGAGGCAAAGACTAGATCCTGGCTTGGATGTGCTAATTTGTAGATATCTGAGAAATGATCAGAAGGAGCTATGCCCAAAGACATTGAATGTACAGATATGAAGTGTAGGATTACAGGCTGACAATTTTTGTTCCTGTAATTTAAAAGATTTGAGAATAATCAGCACTTAGATCACACATGAAATTGTGGGTCTCAGTACGGTTCACAGAGAATGAAGAAAAGGTTCCAGCATAGGCTCCCGAGTAACAACATCTTCAGTGATTCGATTCTCAATACACTGCAGGTGTCCTCAAAGTACGCCCCGTGGGCCACATGCTGCCCGCGGAAATTTATCTGGCCCGCCGGGTGTTTTTGCCTCATTTGTTTTTTTTCTTCAAAATAAGATATGTGCAGTGTGCATAGGAATTTGTTCATAGTTTTTTTTTTTTTTTAAACTATAGTCCGGCCCTCCAACAGGTCTGAGGGACAGTGAACTGGCCCTGTTTAAAAAGTTTGAGGACCCCTGCAACACAGTGTCCACGTACAGTCAGCTGGAGCAATTGTTATGAAGGTTTTCTAACCTGACTGCCAGAGTTTTAAATTCAGTAGTCTTGACAGTGTGTCTGCAATTTCCGTTTAAAACAAACACATAGAGTGATTTCAATTCAAAAATCTCTATTTCGAGAATGCAAAAAATATGCTGCTGCAAGTTTTACACTTATAAAACGCACCATAGATTTGGTTTCCTGGCTGTATTTGGACCATCGACTTATTTGTTAATAACTGGTGAAATTTTTTTTTCCTTGATGAGTAAAAGAAACTTACCTTCATCATTGTTATGGCAATATATCGAGCCTCCTTCACGATCATCGGTTCATAGGAAACGTCCAGCTTTGGTGATGCCAGTCCCCCAAAAGTCATGTCAGTATGAGACGATGCAGCTGTTACTGCAGGGCTTCCAGGGATCCTCTGAGTTTTCTTGGCTTGCTCTTGTTGTACCGAGGATTTTTTCTGAGAAACTGGGACTGCTTTCACTTCCACCTACGTATGACATTATAAACACCAAAGACTAATAGTGCACAGTGGTCCGTGACAAACCAAAGCAGCAGTCGAAAATTATGGGATTCACAATCATACAATTCTTGTATTAACATTGATTCATCTTGGGCATTCCCTCCAGAGATTTATTTAAGACTGTCAGAATAACTTTAAATTAGTTCTAATTTTTTCAGCATAAATCGCCATGAATATTAGAATGTAAAATGAAAATAAATGCCATCATTGGTAAAGAAAAGTAAAGGATAGAATGAATCTAGATTGAGTCCTTGGAGAAAAATAAAGACAAAAAAATATATACATGCTTTTAAATTGTAAGACATTTTCCTTATTTAGGGATTTTTTTTTATTATCTATTTTTGACATTTTTACTGTGGTAAAATAAGTGCAACATAAAATTTGCCGCTAAGCTATTGAAAAAATTCAAATAGAATTTTTTTAATAAATGAAAAACTTACAGAGCAGATTAAGTTTTCATTTAAAATTTTCTATACAACTTGTCTAGTGACATTGGTTATATATTTTTTTAATCTGAAGGAAGACAGCAAATAATACAAAAATAGAATCAATTAAAGGTGAAAACTGAAGATGGTAAATTTTAACCTAACCAAATCTATAAATCTTTTAACTATTTTTAAATGTAGAATTCAGTAGCTGCAATTACATTCACAATGTTTTATAATCAGTATGATCAATTTGCAAAACATTTTCATCACCCCACTTAATTGGTACAAAGAAATTATGTACCAATTAAGTGATAAGATAATTATTTCCACTATTAGATTAAAACACAAAGGGCTTAATTACATGCATTACAATGTCCTAAAAATATAACTATAAATTAATCTTAGGGAAGAACCCACTGCCATGTAGGCAATCCCAACTTGTGACCCGAAAGGGCAAACGTAAAACTGCTTTGACTGTAAATCTTTATGGGACTCTAAGCACCGACCATAGAAAATTTTCATTAGTCATTGTACAGATTACAGATGTTGACAAGCTTCACTCAGATACAATTACCTTCATGTTGGGAACATGTACCACATCCCCATACTGGTCTTTTGTTTGAACAGTTATGGTGGTTGGCCAGCCACAACGAATGTCGTCCTTATTCAGGATCAAAGATGTTTTCTGAGGATCAGCATAGGAGTCTGGCTGAAGCCACCTAACAAGTAATAACAAATGCATTCGTTCATCAGCACTTCCGTGATGCGCAGTCAGGTAAATAAAAGCTGTATTGAAACAATGTTCAAACCCAATCTCCACTTCCTATTCAGGACATTCATCAGTGTCTCCCTGGGAGCGTGATTAATGCCAAGTTCCTTTAGAACAGTGGTTCTGAGCGTTCCTAGCTCCTCATGTTGTGGTGACCCCCGACCATAAAATTATTTTCGTTACTACTTCATAACTGCCATTTTGCTAGTTATGAATCGTTATGTAAATATCTGATATTCAGGATGTATTTTCATTGTTACAAATTGAACATAATTAAAGCATAGTGATTCATCACAAAAACAACATGTAATTATATATTGTGAAATATTTATTTCTAATTACAAATCAATGAAATTTTGTCTTGAAGCATGGTGTACCATGGATAACAGTCTTCACGCGGGGTACTAGTATGTGGGCGTATTTGCATGTGGGCGGACCCACGTCTTGGTTCCTAACACCATCAGAAATATGTGTTTTCCTATGATCTCAGGTGACCCCTGTGAAAGGTTGAGAACTGCTGCTTTAGAACATAATTTATTCTAGAACATTAGATTTTAATGTGGACAATAGAGAAATAATTTTTATATCCAGAAACATGGTTTTTTAACTATGACTAGTTCAAAATAAAAGCAACAAAAACTAGATTGTGTATAGTTTGCAGATTCAAATGCACTCATTCGTTCTGGGGCCTGATTCTGTTTGCCAGCCTGGGAAAGAGGCACGTATATGTACAAACAGGGACAGAAATGGCATTTTGCTGGTTCAAGGGGTACTGCCTATCTCTCCCCACACACTTAACTATCTTCCTCCCTACATTCTTTCTTATGTAAATTTTGCCAATTTTCTATAATTTGTGAAATCAACTAACACATTCTGTGACCTATATTCAAATTGCCTTATAAAATTAATAGCTAACTCATCACAGCATAGCAGTGAAACTGACTTAAAGGTGTTTTTATTCCTAATTAGTACTTTGATGTCATTAGTCTTTTTAACTTCATATAAACAAACCCAGAAAAGATTAGGTTTACATTTTGTTTTACCAGTAAAAATTGCATAAGCAACAAACTTTAATTCTTACATCTTCAAATCAAACAAGTACCAGCCCCTCAAAAATAGGGTAGAACTCTGCAAACTGAAGTGATTTGCATTAAATTCCAAACTTGTATCTGTATTGATTATAGATTTCCTAAAATACAGCAAACTAGGTTGTTACAATAAAATGCAGTGATAAACCTGAGTTTAATCTAGATGTTAAGTTTCTCAACTATATCATCTGTTCCATATAATTCTTTTTAAAAAGTTCACCTAGAAAATGGTAAAATAATCAGTTAGAAACTATCATATATATATACACATATATATGTGTATATATATATATACATATATATGTGTGTGTGTGTTGTGTGTGTATATATATATATAATGCTACCATTTAATACTTCAGTGAATTCAAAGCACAAACACCATATTTTATTTTAGGCAGACATTTTACATTCTAATGACTCCTCTTTCATTTCTCTGAACAGAGGAAGACTGAGGCAAGTAATTTTACTCTTTAAACGACATTACCTTGCAAGCCTCCCGCCACTTGATCCTGGAACACAGGCAATGAAATCATCTAGAAACGACTGCTCATTGCTCTGGATTTGAAGTGGTAAGTTTCCTTCCAGGGCCTCTAATATAGTTGGTGAATGAGAAAGAGCTAAACCCTTTCCGAGAATACCAGAATGTGTTTTGCACACCTGTTGAGTGAAAGATCATATTTATACACTTAAAATATAAAACATTACCTCCAGGAATCTTTGAAATGTACGCAACAATTTTAGATAAGCCTTCTGGGGGAAGTTACTCTGGAGGACAAAAATACGGGAATACTAATTCCAGTGTCTTTCTGCTGCCTTATACCTTTCTCTCACAAAAATACTGGCCCTATCAGATTGGTCACAAAGAAAGATTAGAGTGTGAGGCTGTGCCCCACCTAGGTTTTGTTGCTTTTGGGTTCTGCAAGCTACTTTAGCCTGTGCAGTCTTTCCATCAGAGGTACCTCCTATAGGTAGCTGTAGCAATCAATTTTAGTACTAATTACTATCAGCTAAAAGGAGTCCTGATGGAACAGTGGCTAAGCACTAACCCAAAGGTTGGTGGTTCAAATCTGCTTGCCACTACTCAGTGGGATAAAGATGTGGAGATCCGCTTGTTGAGATTTATGGACCTGGAAACCCTGTGGGGCAGTGCTAGCTGTCCTATTGGGTTACTAAGAGTAGGAATTGATCCCATGGCAACTGCTCAGGTATACTGTCACTTACCATACCCAAGCTGTGCCTGCTCTTTTGGGAGGGGCGGTACTATGGTCTTGACTTAAAAAGTATTAAATATCTTATTGTGGTTGCACATGAAGTACGTTAGTCTAGCCTTATTATAATTATGAAAAGGGAAATACAATTAGAATTGTCAGCTAATAAGCAAGACTTAATGTGTTTTATTTTTTAAGCCTTACATGTTTTTGAAAAAATTTTGTTAAATGTTGAAAACCTAGTAATTTAAATGACTAACTGCAAAGCAACGTATTTTTTCATACAAAGGGGTTACGCACCCCGGTAGTATCAACTTTATACAACAGTGACCTCAGCACTCTACAAATTGTGCAATTTAGTTAATCAGCCTCTTTAGGCTCAAACAGGGTTGGGTTCAAATGCTAGCTTTGGACAAGCTATTTGCTGTGAGATCCTAGGTTAACAAGTTACAAACCATTCTTGACTGTAAATAATAGAAATTGGATTTAAAATAATATTCCTTTTATGTGGTTCTTTAAAGAATTTAAATCAAGTAACACATATATAAAATGCATACTACACTGCCTAACAAAATCCAAATCCATTGCCATCATTATCAATTCATCATTATCAATTTCCTATTATCACAGGGCCCCTATACGACAGAGAATTGCCCCATATAATTTCCCCAAGGTTGTAAATCCTTATGCAACAGTCTGCCACACTTTTCTTCCAATGAACAGCCGGTGGGTTCCAACTCTTGACCCTTTGGTTTGCATTTGAATACCGGGCTCCTTTTCGGTTGAGTAGTCCAGCACACCCCTGGCAACACTTCAGGAACCTATGAAGTAAGAGGTGGTGGTTGTACGCTGTCAGGTTGATTCTGACTCACGGAGACCCTATAAGGCAGAGCTGAACTGTCCATAGTGTTTCCAAGGTTATAATCTATCTTTACAAGAGCAGAATGGCACAGCTTCTTCCTATGGAGCTGGAGTGTTCCAACTGCCAACCATTTGGTTAGAAGACATTCCCTAAATCCCACCATTACTAGAGCTCCTAATGAAACAGATCTAAAAAAAAAAAAGCCAAAGCCATGACCACTGACTTCCAGCCACCACATAGGGCAGAGTAGAACTGCTCCATTGGGTCTCCACGTCTGCAACCTTTATAAACTGACTGCCTGGCTTTCTCCCACTAGTAGTGGGTTCAAACTGCAGGCCTGTTAGTTAGAAGTCCAGGGCTTAACCACTTGTGCCACTAGGGCTCTTTGCCTCAAAGATCCAAAACCAAACTAACTGTCATCATGTCGATTCTGACCCATATTGACCCTACACAGCAGAGTAGAACTGGACCTGTGGGTTTCCAAGACGATAAATGTTGGCAGGAATAGAGTGCAATGTCTCATTTTCCTCCCACAGAGTAGCTGGTGGCTTTAAGTGCAGACCCTGTGATTAGCAGCCCCATGCATAACCCACTACACCAGCACTGCTCTTTTTGTCTCTCAGATACTAAATATTTACTACATATTAGATCACAACAATGGCGACGTATATTGTGGTGTTGTTGTCGTCAGGTGCCACTGAGTCAGCTCTGACCCACAGTGACCCTATGTACAACAGAACAAAACACTGCATGGTCCAGCACCATCCTCACAACTGTTTCTGTGCCTGACCCCATTGATGTAGCCACTGTGTCAATCCATCTCATCGAAGACCTTCCTCTTATTCACCAACCCTCTATTTTACCAAACATGATGTCCTTCTCTAGGGTCTGGTCTCTGCTAACAATATATTCAAAGTATGTAAGACGTCTGGCCATCCTTCATCTAAGAAACACTCTGGTCTTACTTCTTCCAATACCTATGGTACTTTCAATATTCTTCTCCAGCACAATTCAAATGTATCCAGTCTTCTACAGTCTTCCTTATTCAAGGTCCAAATTTTATATGCATATGATGCAATGGAGAATACCATGGCTTGGGTCAGTCCACAAAGAAACATTCTTGCTCTTCAATACTCTAAGGCAATCTTTTGCAGCACAGTTACATAATGCAATATATCTTTTGGTCTCTTGAATGCTGCTCCCATGAACAGTGACTGTGGATCCAAGCAAGACAAAAATCCTTGGCAACTTCACCCTTTTCTCCATTTATCAGGATGTTACCTATTGGTCCAGTTCGGAGGATTTTAGTGTTCCTTACTTTGAGTTGTAAACCATACTGAAGCCCACAAACCTTGACCTTTATCAGCAAGTGCTTCAAGTCGTCCTCACTTTCAGCAAGCAAGGGTTTGTCATCTGCATACTGTAGGTTGTTAATAAGCCTTCCTCCAATCTTGATGCCACACTCATCATACAATCCTGATTTTCTGAGGATTTGCTCCGCATACAGATTGAACAAGTAGGGTGAGAGGATACAACCCTAAACGCACAGCACACCTGTCCTGATTTTAAACCATATTATACTCCCTTGTTCTGTTCTTACAACTGGCTCTTGATCCATGTACAAGTTTCAAATGAGCACAATGAAGTGTTCTTGTATTCCCATTCTTCTTGAGGTTATCCAGTTTGTTAATATTATCCAGTCGTATGACTGCATAGTGAATGAAACATCTTTCTGGTATTTCCTGTTTTGAGCTGAGATCCACCTGACACCAGCAATGATATCCTTTGTTCCACGTCCCCTTCTCAATCAGGCCTCAACTCTGGCAATTTCCCGACAATATGCTGCTGTAACTGTCATTGGATGATCTTAAGTAAAATTTTACTTTCTGTGTGATAATAATGATATTGTTCTACATTCTGAGCATTGTGTTGGGTCACCTTTCTTTGGAATGGGCACAAATATGAATCTCTTACAGTTGGTCAGGTAGCTGTTTTACAAATTTCCTGGCATAGAGTGAGTGCTTCCAGGGCTTCCTCAGCTTTCTGAAACATTTCAATGGGTATTCTGGCATTTGGCGAATGCCTCCAGTGTAACTTGAACTTATTCCTTCAGCACCATTGGTTCTTGCTCATATGCCACCTCCTGAAATGGTGGACTATCAACTAGTTCCTTCTGGTGTCGTGACTCGGGTATTCTTCCATCTAATCTTGGTGCTTCCTGCATCTTTAAATATTTTGCCTACAGAATCTTTCAAAATTGCAACTTGAGGCTTGAATTTTTTTCTTGAGTTATTTCAGTTTCAGATATGTTGAGCGTGCTCTTTCCTTTTGCTTTTCTGATCCAGGTCCTTGCACATTTCATTATAGTATTTGGCTTTGCCTTCTCAAGCTGCCCTTTGAAAATTTCTATTCAGCTTCTTGACTTCATCATTTTTCCATTATCTAGTATGTGATTAATTGCAATAGTCTCTTCTGATATCCACTTTGACCTTTCCTTTCTTTTAAATGACCTTTGTGCTTTCTTCATGAATGATGGTCTTTGATGTCCTCCTACAGGTAAGCGGATCTTCTGTGATCAGTGTTCAATGTGTCAAATCTGTTCTTGAGATATTTTCAAAATTCAGGTGGGATAGAATTATGGTCCTATTTTGGCTCCTGTGGACTTGTTTTAATTTTTTTCAGCTTTGTCCTGAACTTACATCTGTTCCACAGTCCGAACCTGGACTGGTTTTAGCTAATGATATTGAGCTTTTCCATCATGTTTTCCCACAAATGTAGTCAAATTGATTTTTGTGTATTCCATCTGGGGAAGTCCATGTGTAAAGTCGCCCTTTGTGTTGTTGAAAAATGCTATTTGCTGTAAACAAGTCATTGGTTTTGCAAAATTCTATCGTGATCTCCAGCTCCGTTTCTGTGCACCAGTCCTTATTTTCCAACCACTGCTCCTACCATTTTGTTTCCAACTTTCGCATTCCAATCACCAATAACTATCAATGCAGCTCGACCACATCACATGTCAAAAAATGAAACACGAGTTTTTTCCTCCTTGGAACAGCAGTGTAATAAAGGTTTACTTTATATTTGGCCTAAAGGACACTTCATAAATCATAATGAAGAATAATAAATCAACCCCTTGCTTGTTCTCCTTAACTAAACTGATACTGGACACACAATAAGTGTTTGTGGAATAAAATGTTTGTATTTTAAGATGCAAATATTTAACTGAAAAAAAAGTTAGGTGTTTTAAAGTCCAGAATGTTCTTGAGATGATCCCCTATGATAGCACAGTGGACAAAGTCATGGGTTTTATCATCAAATTCCAGCCCTGTTCCCACCAGGTGCCTGATGCTGAGAAACCACCCTAGTGCCCTGTGCTTCCATCTTGTCTTTTCTGTACATGGAGAGGCCTCTACTCCATAGAGCTGTGGTGACCACTGAGTTAAAATATACCAAGTGTTTAAACATAGTGCTGGATAGAGGGACGGTCAAGTAAATATCTGTTTTTGTTTTTACTGCTTTGGTCAATGCATCTCAGGAACTGGGAAATTTGGGAACTATCCTCTATCACACAAGTACGTAAGTTCTGAATGTGTCCCTAACTTCTCTGAACCTTGGTAATTGTACTGCAAAACTCAAAAGGTAATACCTGACCTCAAAGTGTAACTGTCAGAGCAGAGAGATAACATTAAAGATACCGTAAGCTGTATGCTAAGTTCTCTACTGCCCACTAGTTCTAACCACTTCATATGGTATACAGGTCTAGCGCAACCGAAACTCACCTTTTGTCACATCCTACAACCACGCACTTACAGTCTCCTTTGTGAAAATGCTCTCTCCCATTCTCTGATACAATACAATTTTTTTTTCAAGATCCAATTTAAATGTCTGCAGCTCCGCAGTTGTCCCTACACTCCTGACACTTAATTGTTCTTCTCTCTCCAAGAGGATTATGTCTAACTCCAGTTAACAGCCACTGGTACGACATGGTAACAAGCACATCATTCTTTCCCATTAAGGGGAATAGTTACAGGAGCTTTAGAACTGCCAGTGAACAGAACAAAATCCACAAAGAAGGACTCTGAGGGTCAAGGGGGAGGGAAAAAGCTGAGTTGAGTGAAAATACTTATTTTACATGAATATACAATGGCTATTCTGGCAATGTGTGGGGCAATACCTGTAAAGCAGCCTCTTCAAGAATTTCAAGGTCTTCCTCTAATTCATTACCTGTGGTGCAAATGAAAAGCTTGACTAAAATACATTAATACTTAGTTCAATTTTCTGGTTGTTTCCAGTTAGCTCTTTTCCATGTATCAAGACTTACCCTTGATAAGTCTCAGTGGTATACATTTTAAAAATGTCAAGTATTTTCAGAATAAATATATGTTATAGTTCACCATAAGGTAATACTAAAAAAAAATAGCCATTAGTTTATTTTTAATATATGTAATGTATTACAATACATATACACAATTTATATTACATTACAAATACACACACACACCTCAAGGCAAGCCTAGTGCTGTCCATTTGATTCTGACTCACAGAGACCCTAGAAGACAGAGCAACTCTGCTCCACAGGGTTTATAGAAGCAGAGTGTAATGAGCAGCCGGTGGTTTTGAAGCACTAGCCTTTTGTTGAGCAGTCAAGCACTTTAACCACTGAGCCACCAAAGCTTGTTTTATACACACACACACAAGCACATGAATATGTACTATTTTTAATTTCGTATATTTTTTATAAAAAAAGGAAGGGAACTTATTTATAGTCCAAGCCTTTATTTCTTTCTGCCTATACCTTTAATATGCCACAGTAACTCTGAGAAGCACAAAGTAGTGCCCGTATTGTCTAGCAATTTCCCTCTTTATTTTATCACTTAGTATATGTAATATTTTATTTATGAGCTGTCTTTGATAGTTTAAGGTATAAAAATTTGTTATATACATGGTACATATTTAAGAGGAAATATTTAAAAGGCATAAAAATGCGAAACAAGACATTTCACCCCTTTTTTATGCTATCTACTCACAAGATAATCAGAGTCACCATCTTTTCAATCCATCCTTGACCAAATGTTTTTGTTCATTTGTACAGGTATAGAAAAGAAATTGCTACATCAAAGAACAAGGGGCTTCTAGAAGTTTATGGAAAATGGAATTAGAAGTTGATGGGATTTTCCACTAACTTTCTTGAAACCCTCTTGTCTATGCATATAAAATCTTAACAGCTACTGCAAATTTCCTCCAAAGAGGCTGTACCCACTTTCCTCACATGAATGAACACAAGAGATTTCATTTCCTCACACATGTACCAGCATTAAGTCAGAGCAGAATGAGAAGACTAAAAGGGGCAAGAGAGAAACAGAGAATGAAAAAGAGGGCAGAGAATGAGAAGGGATGCAGAGCAAGGATAGAGTACTAAATGCAGTCTCAGTGGAAGCTGCAGATGGACTTGGGGTAGGGGAACGGGACAAACAGAGTTTAACTAACTAACTAACCCACTGCAATCAAGTTGATTTTGACTCATAGCAAATCCCAAACAATGAAGAACAAAGTGCCAATCTGTGTGTAAAGATTACCCTCTTGATCACAATTAGTGACTCACACAAGATTGCATTACTCATTTCTGCCACTGCCTCGTTTCTCTATTCTGCTTCACAAGGTCACTTTTTAAAAGGACTAACAATATCAACCTGACTGCACTTTCTTTCCTAATTCTACGTAAATGACTTACATGTCTATCATTTTAACAAAATATTTGAGTATATTGATAACCTATATATTTTCAAATCCAATGACAGATTTTAAATGACTTCTCAGACAAACGCAAAACCCCCACAAACATACTGGTTTTTCCCCTTCCATTCTCACCACTCCTTTGCAGTATTATTTGTCGTTTCCTCCTCCTGCTAAAGCCAACTTTGAAATTTGGGTGTCAGCTTTGATTCTGTGTAATCTTGCCCTGCCCTTCTACATCTCTTTCAAGCTCATTTTCCACCATGGCTTTAAATAACAACTCTGTGCACATGACATTTTTATTAGCTTGTGTATTGACTTTAGACAATAAATATGCAGTCCCTTACTTGATATATTTTCACTACAGTATTTAAAACATAACTCATACTTCTGAAAGAACTCTTCAAATTTAGTGTTTTCCACCCATTTGTAGCTCATACCTTTGAACACAAGGGAGGGTGTGTGTGTGCACGTGTGTGTAAAGAAGTCTCCATTAAAACAAAACCCAAACTACCAGCCTATTAAGCACTCACTATACATTAATGTATATAGTTATAGAATGCATTTGAAATCTAGTTTCAGAACTTGCTACAGTAAAAAAACATACTACTCTTATAATTAAAAAGGAAAAAAAACCAAAATCACAAGCCCAGTATTTGACCAGACTTACCAATAGGAAGTGCAAGATCCTTTTTCATTAAAGCTGCTGCACAAACCCCACCAAGATTGGCCAACTCTTTTTCCAACTGAATCACTCCCTGCAGAATTGCAAAAAGAGTTCAATGCTATTGAACATGTTCAGAAAATATCACAGGTCACTAACAAAAATGTGACTTGTATTTAAGACGCAGTTTTAGAATCCAGAATGAAGCACATGTTAGCTGAGGGTTGAACAAAATCAAATTATAGCTCAAGCGGAATTGAGGATCTGGACCTAAAATGTTCACTGTCCAAAGAATTTTTCAATCATTATTTTGAAGAAGCATGATCAACCCCATCCTTTGTTTTGAATTACTATATGATTAAAATACTTTGAAGAATCATCGTATTAGTTTCTTTGCTTTATCATTTATTCAGAAAAGTATAGCACCTGTACAGATTTGGGGCAGGAATAATTTACAGTAAGTTGTTAAAAGCAGTTTGTGTTCCCATAAGCCTCTCCCTTTCTGCATGTTTTGGAGTAGCAAGTGATCATGGGCCGTGATAAACTGCAATACATTTTAAGTTATGCCCGCCCTACTTAAAATCAATTTGAGCCTTCTGGACAAGAGCTAACAGCAACAGCCTTTGAAACCACACCCTTCTTTAACAGGATTAAAGGGCAATTAATTCTTACCTCATCGGGTCCAGGACTAAATTCATATCCAACGGCACAGCACTTGAAGCCATAGAAAGAAGCTTTGGCGTCTTTCACATAATCTGACGCAGTCTCTAGGGAAAACAGGGCTTCGTTTCCTTAAAATAAATAAAGACGATGTTCAGTTCAAAATCTGAAATATTATTATCAAAAATTTCCTCCTTTAGCCATCTTAAGATAGAAATAAAACATTATACAACTAAAAAAAGGTTTTCTTTTTCCCTTTTATTTCTATACCTAACTGGAAGGCATCCAAGGAGCAGAGCGTTAAGGCACTTAGCTGATAACCCAAAGGTCGGGGGCTAGAACCCCTCAGCGGCTTCACAGGAGAAAGCGGTGGCAATCTGCATCCAGCAAGATCCCAGCCTTGGACACCCAACGGGGCAGTTCTACTCTGTATGAAGAGGTCATTATGAGTTGGAATTGACTCCAAAGAATTTCTATCTTACTTGAGGGAATAAAGAATATATCCCAAATGCATTGTTATGATTTTGGGGTATTTTTGGGTGATCAAATTATCCTTCTGAATCATCTCCTACCTTTAAATCACACAACCAGTCACCTTTCAAACATCGTCACTTAGTTATTTAGGTGACCTAGATTCGTCTTGTTTTAAACTGTGTAACAATTCCTTAACCCTGACATTTGGCTTTTTCTCAAATATGTAAGCAAGCAAGAAATACATACGAAATAAATCATAGACATGCCCATCATAGGGTCGCCATCAATCAGAATTAACTTCATGGTAGTGAGGTTTTAAAAAATCATTTCTATTAAACACACCTATGATTTATATTAATAGGAACAAGTTCTTGTTTTATTTGGTTTTTGCATGATCACCTTATGCACATGCAGTTCCATTACTTTAGAAACTACGAAATTGCCTATTTAAAGGCAGTTCAGGCCAGAAAGGAAGCTTCTGAAATCAAACTGGCTTTGGGTTATGGCATCACACAAGTAACTCTGATTAATTGGTTAAAATCACAACAGATAAGACACATTTAAGCACACACACACACACACACACAACAGATAAGACACATTTAAGCACACACACACACACACGCAACCTCTTTTCAAGAAAAATCAAATCAAATCTTAACTCTCACTATGTCTCTGAGACACACACCTAAAAGACAACTGTTCAAGGACTCTCATAAATTAGGAGTCCTTAGTAACTTCTTATAGGTTAGCACACATTGGGAAAATAAAAGATCTGGTTCACTTTGTAGTTGATTCCAACTGCCCAGACAAGCACACCTCAGTACTAACTCTTAACTTTGGGTGAGCTACTCTTATTTCACATGATCCTTTAAAAACGGCCTCAAAACTTTGCTTATGCTATACCCCTTGGCCAGAGCATCCTCTTTCTCAACTGCAATCCACATACACTGGAGCTCCTCAATAAATTCCTCTAAAAAGAAAATATGCCTTTTCAGTGGGGTGTCCTTGCTGAATGCCTATCATCACACATGCATGTATTTTACCGTCACAGACAAAATAAAAACAAAAACAAAAATAAAAACAAAAACCTCACCAGGCAACACTAAAACCATAGTAGGCCATCTCGAGGAGCCTGAGAATTTCTTTAGTTCAATCCATGAGTTAAGATGTTCATGGACAGAGGTCAGTTTTGGTCCATATGCTGCATTCTGAACGGTTCTGACTGGAATCAACAGGCGGAGGACATCTTCTGACTGTGCAGTGCCACACTGAGGGTCAAACTCGACGGTCATCCACCGTACACATTCTGGGAATGTTACCTGAGGCAACAGGCAAGAGAAGCACCTAAGACTCCTGAAGAGGATCCCCTTGAGATACAGGAGAGTGTATGGTACAGATCAGGCTTTCAGCATATAGAAATGTAAGCTTTACATAGGGAAGGACTGCATTGTTTAATACCATGAGAAGTAGAGGAATTAATGTTCAATAGCAATTGTCCCTGCTCCCCACTAGCAATATCTACTATTCTCTACCTAACATTAGGCAATGCACATTGATAATACACAAATATATCAGAAAGCTGCTTCGTTTCCATAAATACTCAGCCTTAATTTGTAAATAATGATTTTGTGTGTGTAAAATGTTTTCTATTTATATTTCAGTTTGCACTTAAGGAATAAAAGCAGGTAAACCCAACTATGATTTGATAGGCAAAATAGGAAAATGAATTAATGAAAAATGAAAGTGCCAAATCCTAACCACGAGACAACATGGGAAGGCTACTGAAGAAATTAATTAATTAAATTCATTTAAAACAAAATATTTGTAACTTTTAGGTTACTTAAAAATTGTGGAAAAATACTACTAACAGACATAGAATATTTCCAATGAACTTTTTGAAGCCCCCTCAGCTAATTAAGCACACATACACATAAAAATAACCAACTCAATTGACTTTTGAGTATGGTACTTTGATGATACAACATCAGGATCTGTTTTGGAGACAGAATTTTTACAAAGACATTTCATTTGACCTAGAAATTTTAGTATTCACGGGAGTATACAAAGTAAAATGAATGTCAAAGACCAACATGGTACTGAGTGGAATTAGTAAGAAGTACTCAAATCTGATAAATACAGTCAAAGGACAGGGCTCACGACAGCAAAAGATCCTAACAGTTATTTTCCAGGGTCTTAAAATTTCAGAAACTCAATGAAAAAACTCACAGATTTGCTTTAAAACAATGTAGGGGGGAGAGGGTGGGTGAAGGTGGCGGTATTGATAACCTTTGCTTCTATGGTCTACTTTCTTGTCTAACATTTTGTATAATAAAAATATTATTATTTTCTTTAATAAAAATATTTTACACAGACATATCCTTATATTCAAAGCATACAAGCTTAACAAATTAAACTGAGGCAGTGAATGGAGGGCTCCTCCTTACTTTACCTGACACAATTTAACAGCAAGAGCAAGTTTGAAAACTCCTTAGCAACTCCATTCAATTTAAAACACGTCATATGCTTTTTTTTTTTTTAACATAAAAAATTATGCTACTTAAAGCCTCCTACCTTAAATACCTGAAATTTCAAAGCTCAGGATGTGGTACAATATTGTTCCGTTCAAAGAGCAGGAGTTTTAAATTTTATTGCTTATGTCCACTACTATTACAAAGTACTCCATGTACTTTAGCATGACATGTACAAAATCTCACCTGTAGCAAGATTTGAGACCAAGTCTCATACACGACAAAGCTTCACAATCTTACAGGTAAACTATTTGTCCTAAACCCCTTCTCCATGTGAGTGGGTGTCTGAGAGTGTGTACCTACATGCGAATCCTCTGTATTCAAAGGCAATAAAAGCAATTATACTCTGCACAACATCAATTAAGCTTTCACATTTTACATCTCACTAGACACACGTGTGTACCTTGTAGTGCATAACACATGCCGGTTTATATGGGTGCTCGCTCTCTATGACAGCGTAGTGGTTGGACGTCGTGCACGCCGAGAGGCCTTGTTCAGGCTGGTTACCAGTGGTGCTGTCGGTTGACTGGTTTGGGTTGAAAGCCGGCGGGGCATATTTCTGATTCAAAATGGCAACTGAGGGCAGCAGCTGTTGGACAAGGCCAAAGACTTCTACAGCTACCTAGTTATGTACATAAATATGAAAGATGAAATGAGATCATACACGTGAACAGAGTTACAAACTTATAAACCAGTACAACTGCTGATACGACTGTCATCTGTCTTTCTCAAAGAGAGTTCATTTTATGGAGTCCCCAGTTATCTCAGACACGACGTGAACAATGAGCAGAGCAGCAGCGGTTGAGCCGTGCTTCGTGCTGCGAGTGCACTTGGCCCCATGGACCGTCAAGGCTGTGACCTCACAAGCAGACACCAGGCCTTCCTCTGAGACACCACTGGGGAGCTTTGACTCGCCAGCCTTCTGATGAACAGTTTCATTTTCAAACATCTTTATCTTTGGGGCAGTTGGCAGTATATTAGGTTTTACTCTATATTTAATTGTGTCAAAGTTACTCATTTATGATTATCTCCATGGGCTGGATATTTCACTATTCAAATAAGCTCCTATTCATCTATAATGCTATTAGTATTTAAGATGGAGGCAGCCTGCCATCTACCTCAAAAAATGAAGAAATTCTTGAGTTAAAGCAGTCTTTCCTCACATATCACATTCCTAAAATACATTTCTCGAATCCTTCAATTCGCCAGGTGTAGAGCCAACAAATAGGTATAGCACGCCATCAAGCAATATTAAGAATACTAATAACTTCTATTTAACCGTGTGCTTGTTACCTGTCACCTAGGCACCTCAAATACTTGTCTTTCTCTCTTTTTTCTTTTTAAAGGAATGACACAAAGTATAAAATGAAGTTTACAGAAAGCTCCACAGTTAGAGAATTAAATGACATACCTTGGGAATCGCAGCGGCCACTGGTCCTATGTAAGCTATAATGAGAGGGAGCAGCATGGAGAACAGACTGGAAGAGCTAAGCAGCTCTGGAATGTCATCAGCTGAAAAACAAGACATGGAAATCACAGCTCGCAAAGCAACAGAGGACGACACTGGAGGGACAGAAGGGTCAGAGGCAGCCACGGTAAACATGATCACACACAGTCCTGTGATGACAAACACACATTTCGGAGTTTAAGTGAGCGGAACACGTGTGGGATGGCATACGGGAGCACGTCCACGAGCATATGGAAGTTAGCAGACGCACTGCGACCTGTGTTATCTGTGTGCACTATTTGTATGTAGTGGCGCATACAGGAACACAATCATGAAAGCTGCTTAGCCAAGACCCACGTTTCTGACACTGTAGCTCTACTAGTTACAGTTAGGCGAGTAGAAAGCTTCATTTTTCTCCCATGGAACAACTGGTGGCTTTGAACTAATGGCTCTGAGACCCTCAAAATCATCAATATCGGCTAACATCCCACACCTCACCAACAAGAAGCAGTTCTAGCCATCGTGTTCTCTCACTACCACTGAGTCAATTCTGACTCACAGCGACCCTACGGGGCAGGGCAGAGCTACCCCAGTGAGTTTTCGAGACTACAACTTTTAATGGGAGTAGAAAGCCTCATCTTTCTCCTGAGGAATGGCAGGTGGTTTCTAACTGCTGACCTGTGGTTAGCCACCCAACACACAATCCACTATGCCACCACAGCTACCCAGGGGCCTGAGTTAACTAAATGTTTGACCAGAAAGAGCAGCCTAATTTTTAAGTCGACAATTTTGTATGTCCTGCCAATTATTTTACAAATATCCATGAGTCTAGACTGTGAAAACTTTTATTAAGTCAGGATTCCCAATATTGAGTTTTTAGATCTGCTGTTACATCAGAATATCCTGGGGTCTTATTTTCTAAAAAATATTGATTGACTGTGAATGGACCAAATGTTCTTTATTTTCACCAAGCTTCCCTGCTGGCTCTCAAATGCAACCCGGCTTAGGAACAAATGCTGTGGTATGAAAGGGGGCAGGGGGCGCGATTGCAGCAGTGACTTGTTAAGGAGTGAGACTGGTGAGGCCGCGCCACCTGTACTCTGGAACCACGGCAGCAGGACACAGGGAGGGTGGACCAGACAGACCGGCGAGCTTCCAGTGGAAGAACTCACTGAACTAAATGTTGACAAATGGTTTTCAGGGAAACCTGTACTGTTACCTACAACCTTGGGTAACTGGTACACACAAGAAAAGCAGTTGTAGAGAGAAACTAAATGCTCTTTTTCTACTAAAAGGAGGATGAAGCAAAGATGCAATTTCCTTAAGATATATTTTTTCTCTTAGTAGGCTAGCTAGGAAAATAAAACCAGAAAATAGATTTTGAAATATTCTCAAACAAGTATGTCAAGTATGGCTGATCCAAAATTAATGTGCGTGTTAGGTGCAGCTTCATAATGAAAAAAATACTTTGGTAGATGATGTCCTTTAATAACTGTACACAAAAATGTTAAATAAGACTATCAAGAAGGAGAAGAAATGCATTACCATCTACAGCAAGTGCTCGGTGCAAGAGGTCTTTGGCAGCTCTGACAACAGTGCTCACGACAGAAAGAGCTCGGCTACAGTTCTTATCTTCTTCATTGGCTTTACTCAGAAGTTGCGACTGCAAGTCTCCATCAAATTCACTCCTGCAATAGGAAAACACAGGAGATTACTTGGCACTGCTAAGTGAAAAAGTATCTAACTCTACAAATCATAGCTTAGCCAGAAGCACTCATTTCAATTTTAAAGAGTTAAAACAGTTAATTTGAAGGCTTTTGAAAAGCAAATATGCAACTAAATCATTTCAGGGAGAAAAACAGGGCTCTGAAGAAAAAGCAAGCAGCAGAAAGGAGTAAAGAAAAGAGGTGTGGGAAAGGTAAATAAAAACCTCTCTACTCTGGAGGGTCTGAGCAAGAAAGAAATGTAGTATGGTTTCCATTTGTATAGGATGACTCTTACTGAGCTGTGGAGAACTGACCGGAGGAGGGCAACAGTGGAAGCAGGGAGACTAGTTTGAAGACTATAGCAGTTACCTAGGTGAGAGGTAGAAATGGCGTGGATTAGAATGGTACTTATAGGACTGATAGAAAAAATCTGATGTAGAACATTTTAAAAATCCAGCTATCAGGACTCATCAGTGAGCTGGAGAGGAAGTGTGGGGGGAAAGAGAGCAGGATGATTTCAAGGTGTGGGGCTGTGGATGGGGAAGAGGTATTCCTTGGAGCGTGTTCAATTTAAGATATGAAGATATCTATTAGATAAGTACAGAGAGCACTTTTCAGAGGACTTGTGGTATCAGGGTAAACGTGTAGTCACTGGGGTCTACTTTCCTGTCTACAATACAAGGAATTGGGCAAGTTGCTTCAGGGCTCAGAGTCTTGCTTCCCTCGGCTGGCACATGAGAGCGAGAGGCATACCTCATTGGGTTATCTGAGGACCAGCTGAGCTTAGAAAACTACCTTGGCATGTTAACATCCTCCTCGATACCACTCACCCACTTAAGATTTCAAAGAGAAAGCTGGTTATTCTGCCCAAGGCCCAGAGGCCTACCCCAAGGAGCCAACAGAGCAGGATGGCAGAGAACATTAGGGTTTGGTGGAAGCCATCAAAATATCCAAAACTTTAGATTTGATATATCAATTCTGAATGGTCGACACTATTAAACGACTAATAGTTCTGTAGGTCCTGGAGGCTAAGTGTTCAGCTGCTGGCTAAACAAAACCCACTACCCACTCCTTGGAAAAAAGACGAGGTTGTCTGCTCCTGTGAAGACTTATAGTCCCCCTTAGTTTTAAGACAGAGTTTGAAAAAGAGAATAAAGTCCTGTGGTTTATTGTAGCACTTACAGAACATAAAATTCTTTGTGACTTGGGTAAGCCCAACAGTGGTATGCCAGAATGCAGCAATTTTAGCACCTGCTGTTTTTATTATTTTATTAACATAGAGAAGGGAAGAATAATATTTACAAAAGGGGGGGCTGTTTTGCGCTATCTAATTGGATAACGCAATATCTTCAGATTGTCTATGAAGGAAATGGGAGAAATAGCAAGCCCTCTCAAAGTGGCTGAAACATGAGAGATTTGATGTGTTTAGGTGAATGTTACCTACTACTACCTAAGATTGCAGCTAACTAGAAAAAGTCAGACTTAGTGAGACATGGCCATTTTAAAGCCTCTTTTTACAACCCAAGTTATCATCACTCATTATTTCGCACTATTTACATAATGAAAGGCTTTTCATGAAAAGAAACAAATCCCCCTACATTCTAAGCTTACCCACACCGCAATACTTTGCAGACTAGATAGTGAGATCCAGGTAGTAGACTGCTTCCCGAGAATCAACCTGATCACTGACTTCAGGCGTTTTATGAACGGAAATGAATACAATCCTCTTAAATCAGAAACTACCTGCCTAGCAGATAAAATTTTCAACAACAGTAAAAAGAACAGAAGCAAAGACATTTTAAAGAATTTAGCTTTATAGTAACAACATATTTAAATATTAACACAAGATTTCTTTATATGAATTAGCACATGTTGTGCAAGAGAAAAAATACATAGTACAGGTTAGCCCTCGGTGAACACAAGGGTTAACTAAGCCCTAGACTGCTAGCCACATGGTCCGTCCGTGGTAGAACCCAGCACTGTTGAGCAGAAGGGAGGGAAGCACTGGGGACCTGCTCCTGTAAAGATGTCAGGTTAGGAAACGCCACGGGCAGCTGTACTCTGCCACCACAGTGTTGCTAAGAATGGAAGTTGACTTGCTGGCACATAACAACAATTTAATTATAACTACCCCTTTCCACCTTGGTACTAAATCGTGTACCACTTAACACATCCCCCTGATTGATTGCTACACACACACACACACACACTTACCGATAGTACAGTATCTGTGGAATCTGTCCTCGGGTTTGGTTTGTGCCATTACTACTCAAGCTGCACGTGCTGAACGTAAACGTGACACCATCGGGGCACTGAACGGTAGTCATTCCTCCATCCCCATTGGCTGTGCGGCTTCCATAGTTCCGCAAGCGCACAGCATATTTAACATTTTCCTTCACAGTAAAGATGAAAAATATGTTTAAATCTCATAATGGACAGAGGATACACAGACATTACCCTTCTTGAACTAAGCTAGGCAAGTATGCTGAATTTCTCTACTACATTTATAGACAATCGAATTGAATGTGTTTTCAATGAATTCATAATGATCACAGCTAACATTGACTGAATGTGCTTTATGTGATAGAAATTGTTCTAAGTACTTTTCCTGATTTAATTAAATTAGCCCTCAGAAGGTGAAAGCAAAAGTAAAAGAGAATCCAAGGCACACAGAAGTTCAGAAACTTGCCGAAACTCACACAGCTAGTTTTGTGCTAGAGTGGGAAACTGAATAAAGACAATGTGTGTTTAATTCCTGCTTTTAATCACACTGCATTAACTATAAGAAAAACTAACTGATAAAATATTAAAATATATAAAGTAACATTTTCCTCAGTTTAACTTATGAAATAATTTTAAAAAGAGAAAAAGTAACAATCCTTTATATTTTATTTTAAAAGCTAGTCAGAATGAGAAATACTCAGACATACAGAAATGAAAAATATACAAAAGAAAAAACTAGTGTTTGAAATATGATGTACTGTATCATACAAAATGTCAGAGCAGGATAGTGCTGCTTTATAAACTTCACAATGCAGGCACTTTGCCACAGACTTCAGTATCTACCACTGCTAGATGAAGTCTCTGCTGAGCCTAGCTTAGCCAATGCTCTGCTCCATAGGGAAAGTAGGTGGAGTTCAGAACCATTCCATAAATTAATGTTAAATAAAATTTTTCTAATTCATTAAATGCACCCACTTCTCACTGAGAGCTAAGATTATGGCCCCAAAAGCAGATTATCATATGAAAATCCGTGTTCTGTGCCAATGGAGGATAACTACATCATTGTGTGCTTGCCAACCACTGAGAACCGTGGCCCAGCCAAGCTGACACACAAACCTTAATTTAACCACAACAGTTTAGCATTATTCCTGCCCTCTACTACTGACAGACAAGTACTGTTAATGCACAAAGTAGTCATATACTAGATTTTTTTACTATCCCCATAAATCTAAAGTATCAGAAACAAGATAGTTGATGAGTGAGGAGTACTGTATAAACTCGAGTATAAGTTGCCCCGAATATCAGCTGCGGCACCTAATTTTACTACAAAAACTGCATATAAAATGTGCTGAGAAAACTCGGCTATACACGAGTATATACGGTAGGTATGGTTATTTGCTAAAAAACTACATTATATAAGTTATTTTTTAGTTAATATTTGTGTTATGGGGATTTCGATTTATTAAGATTTTCTATAATGTGCCAGAAAGGAGGAAAGTTCTTTACTTCCATTATTTAGTTTATTCTGAGCCATACTACGTAGACAGCTTCCCAATCTATGGACGAGTCTCAACGGTGTTCAATGATGAGTAAGCTGTCCAGTACCTTAGACCTGATATGTGGCAAACAAGTTATCAGAACCTATGTCGATCTGACAATATTTCTATCACCATGAAAGATGGTATACAAAAGCAGAATATAAGATAGTACAGTATCAGGAATATAAATATTTCATAATATCTGAAACATCACATAAAGAATAACTTAGGAATAGCTATATTTAACAAAAATCCACGATGGACTTTTCATTTACATTTTTAAAGGAAAGTGCAAAAAATACACCCCCTTACTGACAAGAGAAACCTTGGTTTGAAATTACCTTTAAAGGAACAACTTTGTCAAGTCTAATTTCAGCTATGTCACTGGGTGAATCATCTGTCGTATAGGTTCCTTTGACTAACTCTAGAGAAGTCCACCGGTGGGAGTGAGTTGAATCTCCTGCATGTTCACTCTAAAACACACCAAAAGGCATCAGTCTCCTTACTTCATTGTATCAACAACTTTTCTAAAACTTTTCATTGTGAATTGGGTGAATATTTTAAAAACACCTAAGTGTTCCATTGAAGACTTCATACACCTTTTGTTTTATGTCATTCATTGTAAGAGTTTTGATTTGTAATTAATTTCTACTTTAATTAAAGAGAGGTCTACAGAATACCTACATCATCATATTCAGGCTATCTTTAAAGAACTACCATCTATAACGGTCTTGTTAAAATGTCAGATTTTAGCCAAACAATCTTGTATGTTCTCACTCAGACTGACCCTAGAGGGGCTGCCACACAGCAATTCAAGCCATAGGCTCCCAATTGGCCACAGCCCCCTTCTTAGAAAAAAATTACTCAGTGGCCCCCAATCTCTGGCAAGTGCAAACTTTTGTACTAAATCTCATCATCTAGCACATAGTGTAGTATCTGCTTTCACAAGTCGCCTGGATCGTTACAATGTCCCCCTGGGGAAGGTATCTCCCACACCTTGGGAGATGTGGCTGAAAAGCTGTACTGAAGATGACTGCCACATCGCTCTCCCTCAGTGTAGCTTCTGGGTGAACAGCTGAGCAATTTAACCCCTGTGCCACCAGTTTCTATATAATTTGTATGGACTCTTGAAATCTATGAACCCAGTTTCCAGTCTTCAAGAGAAATTATACACATATACACACTTACATAGATAAAAATAATTTCAGGGGAAAGTTCATCAGCATATTTGGAAAGGCATTCTTAAATTTCTCCATTTTCAAGCAGTGCATGTAAAATAAGCTATTAGCATTTAAAATGCTATTATAAAATGAAATATTAGCATTTCCCCATACACAGTAAAGAAAAAATTCTGGTATTCCAAATCACTCACTTGTATTTCATTTCCTGAGCAATCAACAACCCATCTCATATAATTCAGCTTTTCTCACTTATGTCTTATACAAATCCAACCTCTTTATAAGAATGCTCTATATAACTATAGTCCAGTGAAAGATTAAACGAATGAATCCAAATCAACCGCTCAAAATAATCAAGCTACATATTAAGAAATTATTTACACGAGATCTTTCTGGTTCTAAAAATTTGAGTACTTTCTTTAAAAGTGGCAACAACAAAACCACTCATGGGTATATCATTTTTCAACTTTATGAATAATTTCAAATACATCCTCAAGTGCAGAAAGGAGGCAGTAGTGACCAAAAATGGCACATAAGCCATCAAAGGGAGTGACTTTCTTTTAAGTCTTTGATGCCTTCCATCTGTGATTCATTTGTTCACCTCTCAAAGATTTGGACTTAACACATCATGTTAAGTAATCATACACAAACAAGCCACAAAGCCAACGAATCCTATAAAAGTGGTACTTACATCATCAACCAATACCTCTAATTCATATTCATGAATTCCACCTCCTCCATAAACAGAGAACCCAACCACAACTATTCCAGGTTTGTCCACTGAAAAACAGATTGCATCAGGAGACCCATTCCCAGTGTTCCAACTTCTTCCCTGACTTGTTTTTGTGAAACGGTTAGCACTGGCTTTTACAGAGTGGAGAGAATTCAGCCCATCAACCTGGGAACAAAAGTATTAAATCAGTACTCTGTCCCAAAGGGTTCTAAATAAGCACAACCAAAGAACCTAATTTGGTAAGTGGGCTAAAAACTTCCTAAAGTTGTATTCCACCAAGACAAACTAACAACAGTCATGCTCAATGTACAAAGCAAGATCACTGACCGTTATTTTCTTCATCATATTAAAAAAAACACCTGTATATTTCACTTAATTTATAATGTCAGATCGATAAGCATCAAAAGTATCAGTCATAATATATGCATGCATCATGAGTCATTTTGAAGAGAGACAAAGATTTCATTAACATCGTACAATCACTGGGTTTCAAACTATGCTGCACAGAGATCTAGAGATCCTTTATAGATAGGTGTGTTAGGAAGAGATGGAGACTAGACCCTCCTCTTCAGCTGGATCATCTTGGCCCTTACTGCAAGTTTCCAAGTATGACTTCATTTGAAGACAATGTACCGTGTCATAAGTGCGAATGCCATGAGCACACACTGTGATACTATGGGGACTTCGCATCTAAAGTTTGAACAGATACATCATACTCATAATAGGTTTTCATCAGAGATTCTGTTTTTGCTTGAAACTGCTCTTTTTAATTTATGGAGCCTGCTTCTAATGTAAGCTGCCCCAGGAATTTGAGAGCCCCACAGGAAAGAAACAAAAAGTGTACTGACTCTAGCAAGCAAGAAAGGAGGACGTCTAAATCTGGACTTGCAGGAATCCCCACGGTATAAAATCAGTCTTTCTGCAATGTTGTACATTCCTTTTATTAGAAAGTAAGTTCTTTGAAGGAAACGAGACAGGAAGTTTCCGAGGAGGTTCTATCTATCAGCATAGACTTTCTCGCATCCTCAGGAGTCGAGTACAGAAGAAAGCATTGTGGGCATTCACAGGTCTTCATGAAATCCTTCATAAAGTATGAAGGGTTACTGACAAGGGTTTCAGCAAAGCCATAAGCCCACATCAAAGCCAACCAAGAAACCGAGGGAGCATTCCCCCAAAAAGGCAGTAAAATTTGCTCTCAAGCACGTTTCTAAAACTTACACCGTTTCAAATGAATCAATAACAAATATAGATTAGCTGGGCTAATTCAGAACATTCTAAAATCAATATATAATAAAGAAAAAGCAAAAACCAGGAAATGCAAAAGTAATATAAAGAAATGAAGTCTTTTCTTCAAAAAATTGACGAACGAGGGACACGGACTACCTGTGGTTATTCAATTTTTACTTGGATTATACAGGACATTTTACATTAAAATGTTTATGAAACTAGGAGAATGCCTGTTGTATTACTGGGATACACTGTTAGACACTGACATATTTGTATTTTAAAATTACTTCTTTCAAACTTAAAAAATAATAATAATTTTAAAAAACAACCTATATGGAAATTATAAACACTCTCAAAATCTGTTACCTCGGAGCCCAGTGCAGATGCGGTCAGTTCGCTGACGATGCTGGCGAGCAACCCACAGGTGTTGGAAACCAGGTGGGAGGAGAAGAGCTCATTTTCCCTCCGCAGGCTGTTCCTGACTGGCAGGACGACGATAACCAGCATCTTCTCCAGAACTTCCCGGAAGCTTGTCATGCCTGAGATACTCTCCTCACTCTGGGGTACGGGAAAAGGAGACGTTGCTCTGGCTGCCTGCCTTCCCACGGGCTCCCAGTGTAGAAACCCATCTTTCTAGATCACGCTCTTAAATTACAGGTTTGCATCTACTCCTCAAACTACCACATTGCATGCACCTACTTTTCACGTGGATGCTCTTATTTCAATTATTGGGTTCTGCGCATCATAAAAGCTTCACACATATATAAGGTGTTTAAATTTTTCTGAACTTTGTTATTTTACAGATTCTTTTATTTTTCAGTAATAACCATTTACAGAGAAAGAGAAACATTCTCCCACTTAAAAATGTTTGCCTCTGAGATTCCTGGCATATATAGAGGTAAATAATCTTTGTGAATGCAAAGTAATAATAAAAATAAGAAATTATCAGGTAATTATGTCTATTAAGCTTTAAATTTCCAATGTATTTTATTTTATATTATTCAAAACATTTTATTAGGAGCTAATCCAGACATCATGCCAGTCCATAGCTCAATCATATCAATCAGGGTTGTACAATTGCTACCAAAATCTGTTTCAAAACATATTCTTCCTTCTTGAACTCGATATCAGCTCCCTCTTCCCCGCCACCCTACCCCTTCCATGCCCTTCAGGAACCCTTAGATCTAGTTTTTGTCCCATCCTGGGTTTTATATACCCCAAACCAGGAAAAACAAATCCACCATAACAGCTACCAACAATGACAAAATATAAACACACACACATGTAAGTATATATAAAACAACTCATAAAATAGTAAAAACCAGACCAAGCACAAATTGTATCAGAAAGGAAAACAAATGACATGGTTTCAACCTATCAAGTCAGGTTTATCATTTTAATCTATTATAGTCTTCTCTCCAATCCTCTGACAACCAAGTTATTCCCATTCCTCTATTACGGTTAGAAGGAAATCACTGGAGGTTTATCCCTGTGTAGATCCTACAAATGAATTTCGTGCTTCCACTGTCCTCCCTAGCCTTCTGCACACCACAATCTCATGATTTAAGCTCTGATACGATTTCTTCCTTCAGATTTGGTTGTATAATTTCTAATCCTTGGATCATGGATGTTGGTGTGCTTTTTCCATGTGGACTTCGTTGACGTCGAACTTAGATGATTGCTTACTTGGAAACAAGCCTTAAGACCCCAGGTGCTACTCTACCTGATAGCCAGGTACTACCTAATTTCTTCACCACACTTTGCTAAAGCACCCGTATCTTCTGTGTTCCCCTCCTGAGGGTGAGTATCGAGCAGGGCCATGTCGCAAGAACTAATTGTTCTTAGCTTGTAGGTAGGATAAAGGTGAGTCCAAAATCGATTTCTGAATCCATGTTTTTTTATCTGCCTCTGGTTCAGCTTAAGAGACATCCTTGTTGATTTATCATAGAGAATCTTATTGATCATCTCTCTTGAGCAAAGGACCTTCTGTTTATAGTGCCACTTATTAGGCCAGGTTACTAATTTTAAAACACTATTGAGAGAGGGAGTTTGCACAGTGTAGGCTAACTACATATTGCAATACCTGTATTATTCACTTGAACAGAATAAATCTTTAAGTGACTGAATACTATTTGCACAAACAATGGCAGTTGGTAGTCAGGCAAAACTTACAATAATATTCACTGCCAATGACAGTGAATATTTTCTATTTTAGAAAATCCAAATCCATCATCAATGTAACATCTTCAAAATAAGAATTTATAGAATCCTATTAAAGATCACCTGCTCACCCACTGTCACTGAGTCAATTCTGACTCATAGCAGCCCTCAGGGCCCTCCAAGACTGTAACTCTTCACAGGAGTAGAGAAAGCCTAGTCTTTCTCCCATGGAGCAGATGGTGTTTTCAAACTGTTGATCTTGTGGCTAGTAGCTCAAAGCATGACCCATTATGCCATCAGGCCTCCTTTTAAAGACCACTGGGAGGGTGTCGGGGGAGTAGAAAGCCTGGGCACGATAGTCAAATATAATTAATGCTACCTGAATGCATATTTGAAATAGCACAGAACTTCTTATAAGTACTACAAAAGCTAAAGAAAGTTATACATAAAACCTTTAAAAAATTATTTCCCTACAAGTCTATCGGGCAACCTAATATTGTTATGATGTATTTGTACATTAGAATGTTATTCAGCCTTAGGGAGAAACGAGGTTCCAATGCATGTTACAACATGGATGAATTATATTATCTTTAACATCTTTCAAATGGTTCAGCAAAAATTAAAAACCATTAACCATTGCACAATACTTTCAAGTTTCTATAAGGTAAGGATTATTCAAAATTAAGAAATTAGAGAAAAAAGATTACTCATTACATAAATTAGCAGTTCTTGTTCTGAAGGTTACCAGCATTCACCAATGTGGAAGCACAGCATTTATCAATGCAAAAGAACAAACACCAAGCTAAATGTACCTCCATTTATAGTTTTTGTTGATTCAATATGAAAGATGTTTCAGAAGAAAAGGCCTACCTGGCTGAGTTTTTCCATATGTGCCACCAAAAGTGGAAACCGGTGGACTAAAGTTGAGTCATTTTCTGTGCTAACTTGTTTCACGATTGATCGTAGTAGTACTTCTCCATCATATGCAATCGGGAAGATAGAAGTCAGTTTAATAGAAGTGTGACACAGCGCTGACATAACAGCTGCAAGGAGTCGGCTACTTGAAGTCTTGAAGTTTGCTTCTTGGATATCCTTTCAAAAGCAAACATGGGGTGGAGGTGGGGGGGGGGAATGTTGCATCAACAGAATCTAAGTTTCTCAATAGACACAAAATAATCAACATTTAATGATAAATTGTGCAACACTCAACGGTAATGTCTCGGTACAGAGTATTATTACATTAGTACTTTTGTTAAACACAACTGTTTAAATTCTCACTCAATGAGGACGAGAAATCATGAAGCAGCGTTAAGAAGAATCAGTTTTATGTTCTCTGGTATGGAAGACTGAATTTATTCAACAAAATTGGCCAGAATGACAGCTCTTTTTAGGTGTATTTATAACAAGAGACACCCAAAAATGCTTAATTAGTGTAACATATGGCATTTCCCCTAAGTAGCAACAAATATCTTGATTCAACAATTTGGTGCCATCATAGTAACATTTCACTTAGTTGACAAACTTACATCATTACAACTGTAATATATACAGAAAATGAGTGGTATACTTTATAGCACACCTATAAAGTTTCACCAAAAAGTATATTAACACTGGGTACTCTAACTCACTAAACTTGTGTACGTATTGTTTAATTCATCTAACACTTATATTACAATCAAGCTACATACATTTCGTATGTTTGCTACAGTTAGCTGGTTCAGTCCCAGAGGAAGAGAGATAGCCATGTCAGACTGGGCAGGTTTCGAGGGTCACGTTAACTTGTTCACTAGTCCAGGCAGTAATCATGCCTAAGACACTGAGTGAGTGATAAAATACATTGCCCTGTTATACGGACCCAAAGTCAACAACCTTGTGATTTTAATTTTTTAGCTCAGATCATCAATGCAAAGTTGAACCTTGTGCCTTGCTCTCAAATTTCAGAGAATGGTAACAATTTTACCATTAAGTGGAACATTAGCTACAGGTTTTTCTCCTCCCCAATAGCTATTTGTTTTCAGAGGGAGGCTTCCTTAAATTCTAATTTGCTTGTTGTTTTTTTTTAAAATCATGAATTAAGTGCTTATGTTGTCAAATGCTTATTCTGCACCATTAAAAGGATCATATGATTTTCCCTCTTTGTTCAGTTAATAGTTTGAATTTTACTACATTGACTTTTGAAATATAAACTAAAGTTCCATTTCTGAGATATACCTTACTTGATCCTGATTTTTTATCTACTTGGTATATTGCTGGATTTGATAGTATTAAGAAATTAAATGTCTATGTTTCTGAGTGATATCCATCACCAATTTTCTTATATCTGTCAGGTTTTAATATCAGGGTAAAACTAATTGAGAAGTGCTGCTGTACCTATATTTTCTGAAGCAGTTTGTAAAAGTTTGCTATTATTTCTTTCTTAAAGGTCTGACAGAATTCAACAATGAAAATATCAGGGCCTGGAGTTTTCTTTGTGAGCATTTATAAAGTTCAATTTTTTAGTGGATATGTAACAAACAATTCAGATTTTCTCTTTCTTGTGTCAGTTTTGAGTTTTGTAAAGGGTTTTTTTCATATCTAAAATGGCAAAGTATATTGGAATAATGTTTTCTTACTCCCTTACGATCCCTGTTAGTGCCTCCTGAGTCTACACTTAACAGTACCTATTTTTTTTCAGTAACAGCATTTTCTTTTTCGTCTCTCATATTACAGTCTCAGACTCCACAGGGGTAGTTCCACTCTGTTCCATAAGGGCTCTGCGAGTTGGAAGTGACCAGATGACCAAGCGTTTTCTTTCCCTTATCGGGCTTGCTAGTTTTTCAATTTTGTTAATCTTTGCAAAGCAGTAGCTTTGAGTCACATTCTGTTCTTACATTTATCACTGCTTTCCTCAACTGTGTTTAATTTCTTTTTCCTACCAGCTTAAGGAATAAACATAGATCATTGCCTGTGAACTTTCTGCTTTTATAGTGTATAAACTATTCAACGATATAAATATAGGGGGCTTCAAAAACTTTGTAGGAAAACTCCATAATCCTCCCCGGTTTTTCCACACACGTTTAGCATGGCACCTCTGTAATAGCTTTAAATGCATCCCACGAATTTTGAATCGTTACATATTTTTATCTTTCCATTTAAAATCCTTTCTAATCTCCTTTAGGATTCATTTTCTCATCCTTGACTACTTAGAAGTATTTTTTATTTTCCAAATGTCTAGTGTTTCTTGATGTCTATTTGCTATGGACTTCGAGAGTTGTCTGAAAGCGATACGCAAGATCACGTGAGCTGGAACTGACTCAGCAGCAGTGAGTCAGTTGGTTGTGGTGGTTGCTGCCTGCGAATACAGCCTGTGAGACTGGATCCTAAAGCTACTGACATTGTGAGCTAGCATACGATCTAGCTCGCTGAATGTTCCACTTGTGTTTAAAGAGTGTGCATTCTACAGTTGTCCATACTGTTTTATAAATATCAGTTAGGTAAAACAGCTGACAGCAATGTTCAAATCGTCAGTATTTCTCTAATATACTAATTACTGAAGCAGGAGTGTAAAAGTCTCCAACTCTTACTATAAATGTATCTCTCTCTTTAGTTCTGTGGATCCCACCCCCAATTCCAGGTGTTTTGAAACGCTGTTACTTGGTAGAGATTTATGAAGATGATGTGTCCCAAGTTCACTCAGCTCTCCCTCCTCCTTTTCTGGTTGAGGTGGAGAGGAGGGGTTGCCATGCTGGTGCTGTCTCTGCCCTCAGATACTCACGTACTCTGAGTTCTTCCCTTTTCTTACACACACTTACACACACACACACACACACACGGTGCTGTCTCTGCCCTCAGATACTCACGCACTCTTGAGTTCTTCCCTTTTCTTACACACGCACGCACGCACGCACGCATGCACGCTCGCTCTTTCTCTCTCTCTCTCTCTCACTCACTCACTCACTTTCTTTCTCATAGATTCAAAGAGAAAATCAGCAAATGCACAATGTCCCTGTCAATATTACAATTAAGTAATGAAAATGCAAACCAATTTCCTAAGGTATCCTTTATAAAAGTTTGAGTGACTGAGTCAACGGTATTTTATTTTCTTAAAGAGTAATCATCAGATTTTTCAATGAACATTTTACAAACTCAATTACCTGATCCAAGCAATTCAGCAGATCACACAGACAGGTCCACTGCAGGGCGGGCGTTGGGTAGAAGGAGTGAAAACAGGCGGTGAAGGTATTGTGGCATTCCTGAAGGACAGCTTCCAGGAGACTCAGGGGCTGGCTGAGGTAGCCGTGAGGATCGTTATCCAGCTTCACCATGCAGTGATCAACCCCTTCTGATAAAATTTTTCTTAGTAAAGTTCTGGTTTTTCCAAGGCATTCTGCTAACTTGCTAGTTTCTTCTACAACTGCTTTTCCTGAAGCTTGGAAGGAATACAAGAAGTTACCAATTTAAAAAAAAATATGCATGACAGCATTCAGTGTAATTCAACATTTTTCTCTGTCGCTGAGAATCACACTCAGACAATTTAGACAAAGTGTGGGACAAAATAAAATTTTCTTAAAAATTGAAATTGGAGGACAAAAAAGTCTGTTTTCAATAATTAAATCTAAATCTGTTGTTCCAAATATTTCTATTTGACGGAATGTGTTTAAAATACTTTTAAAAGAGAATTTCATTTTAACCTAAAATGATTTTGCTTTCAAAATGACACATAATTTTATTTTGTGTAAGTAAACACAAAACATTCACTGAATTTACTTTCCCCTTTAAACTAGGTGCAAGTTAAAGGTAACAAAAGATCTTAAAAGTTTTAGTCATCCTTAATTTTTATTATCTCAAATATTTTTAATATTTTTTATATCTCAAGTATTTTCTCTAAAGCCATTTAAAAATTGTATCATACCTGACACTGGATAAATTTCACAGGTGTAGACACGCAATAACCTCAGACAGCAGGTGCCCACAAAGCGCAGTCTCTCTAGATCGAGGAGCGTCGCAGTGAACTGGAACCCCTTCAGGCCTCTAAGTTCTTCAACTCCTAAGACTAAGGTGGTCCAGCTCCAGTGCAGAATGCTCAACAGTGACTCAAAGCACTCCTAATCCATAATATGGAAACAAAGAACTAAAAATTAGTTCAAGTGACCCTAAAAGTCAAGTCAAACTGGAGGATAACAACTTTCAACTTCAGAATTTTATCTTGAAATTCTTATGAGTTTTGTAAGCCAAAATAGTAGACAATCTCACAGTTCATAATTGCTATGAAGAATTTCTTTGAAGTATGACAAAGAAGTTGTAAAGGTATGCGTTTATAAAAACAAATGTTCTTAAATATTGGCATATTTTAAAAACGCAGTTTTAAATTTTTTCATGAACATACTAATAATATTGAATAATTAAGAACAAAAGGTTCACAATTAGAGATATATATTCACTTGAAAAGACTTTTAAAATATATTGTCATTGTAGTGCACATAGTAGTGTAGTGAACTATTTTTTAAAATTCTGAATGAATGTAATAAAGCCCTTTAATATCAACAATATCCAATTCACCTTATGCCAATATGTTAATTTCTTCAATACAAATTAAAGCCAATTTTTTACAAGCTAGTTAATGAAAGATAAAAACTGAGGAGTAAATCCTAAAAATATTTCATATATATATCTAAAATATGGAATATAGACTTAGGATGGTAGATCTTCCTTTCACCTCCAGCTGTCTGAAATTATACCATGCATATACATACTAGATAAATTCCAAAAAACAAAGCATCCCACCAAGTTCAAGCCATTTGGTGAGGATTACACCAGCACTAAGCACTTTAAGGTTTAACTGTTAAAGGAACTTATCTAATCAACTCCTTACATAAAGATTAAAATTACTTATCACCAAACCACTTAGACATAAAAGCAACACGAAGTACAATATGAAAGACATGCAATCAAAAATGACATGACAGTCAAAGGTACTTACTTAGATCAAATGATTTCCAAACTGTTCTTAATAATTTGGTAACATACCAAGGAGCTGTGCCCTGGTGGCATAGCGGGTTAGACTTTGGGTTGCCAACTGTGAGGTGAGCAGTTTGAACCCATCACCCATTGGAAAAGATGAAGATTTCTATTCCCGTAAAAGACCAAGGAGACAAGAGTGCTTGTAGTCTTTTATTCAAAGCACACTCTCTATAAACTGCCAACATGTTTCTGGAAGCCTAAATTGACAAGCTATATAAAAGTTGTTCAAGTACAAATAACCACATAAATATGCAAGTAATCAAAGACATGTGAAGGGACTTCAAAATATTCATTAAAAAATGGAATTAAAATAATGCAATTTTTTGAATGAAATTTTGGAATTGTTATGGATGGGATTGTGGACCTCCAAAATTGTGTCCTAAGCAACCAGTGGAGAGGTCTGAGGCCGACCCCAATCACAACTATGTGGACACCTGCCCCTCCTCCCAGAAGAATTTATGTCAGAGGACGCACTGAAGCTGCAGCTCAGGGAGAGGGACGTCTGATCAGAGCACATCAGAGCAAATGAAGTGTGAGGAAGAGAGAGTGGAGCACATCCTGGCCCACCAAACCTTGAGGACGATATCCCCACTCAGAGCATCCAATCCACAGAGAAGACCAACCATCATGGCCGGACCCACTGTGAGACACAACATCCCTCAATGACCCATAGCCCTACAGGGGACAACACTGGAGACCCAGTGTGACAATTTCGCACGATCTGATCCCACCACACCGAGGCAAACCACTAAGGGAGTGCAACAGAACAGCAAGGGGTACAATGCAACAAAGTCCCCAGGGGATACCAAAAATCGGCTTAGGGGCCAGGGCTTGGCACCCCATCACACTTGACCAGAAAACACTCTTAAAGGCCAACAAACAGTCCTAGAATTAACTATAAGCTTTTCTTTTTCGTTGTTGTTTTTTGTCATGTAGTTATTTTTTGTTTTGTTGCTTGGTTTTGCTCTGTTTTGTTTTTGTTCATGTTATTATCTCCACAGGTCTGTCTAAATAAGATAGGCTGGATGAACAATCTGGAGAACACAACGAGACCGATAGTTCTGGGGGGACAAGGGAAAGGGGAAGGTTGGGGGAAAGGAAGTGGTGTTAACAAACCCAGCAACAAGCGAACAACAAGTGATCCAAATTGGTGGTGAGGAGGCCTGGTAGGGCTTGATCAAGAGTAATGTAACCGAGAGGAATAACTGAAACCCAAATAAAGGCTGAGATGATAATGGGACAAGAGGAAAGTAAAAGGAAACAGAGGAAAGAGCTAAGAGTCAAAGGGCATTTATAGAGGTCTAAAAGCAGGCATGCACATATGTAAATATATTTATACATGAGGATGGGGAAATAGATCTATGTGCATATATTTACAGGTTTAGTATTAAGGTAGCAGATGGACATTGGGCCTCCACTCAAGCACTCCCTCAAAGCAAGAACACTTTGTTCTATTAAACTGGCATTTCATGATGCTCATCTTCCCGACACAATGGCTGAAGACAAAGTGGGTGCAGCATAAGCAAATGTGAAGAAAGCTGATGGAGCCCGGCTATCAAAATATATAGTGTCTGGGTGTGGGGGAGGTCAGATGCATAGGCATTCCCTTCCAAGGGCAATCAGTTGCCAGACTGCTGCTTCATCCCACCACAGGGGTGGGCCTGCTCCCTGCCTCTGGGGACAATGGATAAGTTCCTGTAGGTGGAGTTTTCACCCTACTGATAATGGTTCCTATGGAGACCCAGAGACCATCGCCTAGACCATCCCCTCATTAATGTGTAACCTATAATGTAACCCCTTCCTGTGACATATATCTTTACCTGTAATTGGTGGGCGTGCACCCCCCCAAAGGGATATAGGCGTGGGTCAGTGAGAGAGACACACACTCCTTGCTGTACACTCCCTGGTCACTCCCCTCACTTCCCCCTCTCTCCAGTCCTCTCTCCCTTGTTCCCTTGCTCTCCTTCCCTTCCCCCTCTCTCCACGTGGACCACCAAGCTGGGCTGAGGTGAGCAATGCTACCATGAATTGCGTCTGACTCCATTACTTGACTCCATCTTTTAACTCTCATGCTCTCTATGATTTTACTATAATCTCTACTTATTATGGCTGTACAATTGCGCCTACTGAACCTGTGTTTTGTGGGCTTCCCTCTCCCCTTTAACCCCACAGATTGGCGCCCATCATGTGAGGCTTGGTAGGAGAAGAACTCTTCTGAGTTAGATCCTGTGTAACAATTGTACGGCCTCATCGGACAGAGAGAGTGAATCGGGAAAACTTTTTTGAAGTTTTTTTTTTTTTAAGTGTGTTTTTAGTCCGAGTGAGATATGGGTCAGGCAACGAGTAAAAATACGGGGTACAGTATCACTCTTTGCCACCTCTTGAGGAAACAGAAGGTAAAGGTAACAACTAAGAGAATGAACGAGTTTCTTCAATTGGTAAAGAAATTTAATCCTTCTTTTCCGGAGTCAGGAACCTTTGATTTGGAGATCTGGGATAAGGTAGCCATTAACTTAAGAAAAGCTCACAGGGAAGGGCAGAGCATACCCATGGAGACCTGGGTTTTGTGGGCGCAGATTAAAGAAGTGTTGAAGCCGCTGCAGGGAGAGAGAGTAAAGGAACGAGACCAGCAGAACAGTGAGAAACCTCTAAACTACGCAGATTTAAATCAGGTGAGAAGCAGACAAGATGAGTATCAGGCAGATGAAAAGCTGTTAAACGGAGCTGAAAAAACCAAGTCTGAATCAGAAGGAGATATTAGACTAGAACCATCTGAGCCACCACCAGAATATAGCTTAGGGAATCACAATACCATCAAGCAAGTCAGTGCCGGAGGGAGAGATAAGATTAAAGCCAAAGAAAAGCAAGCAGAGAGATTTAATGTAGAGGGTGAGGTTCTGGAAGCAAAAAGCAAAGAGGCAGGGTGTAGAAAGACACCATTGCTTTCACAGGTAGAGAAAAGCATAGCCCAGGAAGCAGATTTAGAATTTAGAGTGGCTTATCCCATGAGAGTTATAGACAGACAGACCGACAAGCAGCACCCACAAGGGATTCAAGAGCGGCAACATGCTGCCTTTCCCTTCAAGCTAGTGAAGGACCTCGGGCAAGCTGTACCTAACTATGGTCCAGACTCCCCATTTGCTATTAGTATGATAAAAGCTCTGGCAGATTCTGAATATTGGGTCCCAGCAGATTGGAGGGCGCTAACGAAAGCTTGCCTCTCACCTTCAGAATCTTTGCAATATCAATTATTATGGATTGAGACAGCTCTTGCGTGTTGTTAGACAGGGTTCTCTAGAGAGATAAAACCAAATTGCTGATAATTTAATATATTTATTTATAAAGATAATTAAATATATAACAAGAAATGAACTGTTAAATCATATACAGATAA